GTAGATCGTGTCGGTGTTCTCGCCGATGAATCTCTCCGGAAGGGAGTGACGGTGGTAGGAATCAGGTGCAACGATGTAATGGTACATTAGCGTGGATCTTGTTGAATCAGATGTGATTGTGTAATAAGTAATGAGCTATAATAGACACGTGGACGGTTCAGATCCCATCGAATGGGAAAATTTGTTGTGTGTGCGTGCGTGCCTATGAGAAATTTCGTAAAGCTCGAATAAAGTCAACGTCAAACATTAAAAGTGCGTAGTCTTTTAGCTGAATGCTGGAAAACTACGAGACATTTTTGAAAAAAAATTAACAAATTTGAAGAACAACTAACTAACCATCACGATCTTACATCTAAACATTATAAATGTTGTAAATAGCACAATTTTTCGCAGATTAGCAATAAAATAATCGGTAGACATTTAGCTTATGAACGTCAATAGTAAATCTCACCAGGACAAAAGAACAAGGTAATAGTATTACAAATTTCATTATGAAATGTTTATGGAAAGATTAAAAACCTGTAAACTTCAGAAAGAAAGAAAATGACATGTATCATGATATATAGTGTTACAAGAACAAAGCGAGTGAAAGAAGGTTAAAACAAAAATCACCTTGACTGAAAGAGACAAAAAGCAAAAGCATGTATATGTGTGTGAGAACCAGAACAAAACTGTAAAACCAAATACCTGAAAATGCAGCAACATGAGAAGTTGAGAACGGCTTATTACTTTTCTCGAGCATTGTGGGTGTTTAACTGACCGAAAGCTTCGGTTAGCATCATGGTTTGATACTGAGACGGTACTATGGGAGCTGGAGGCTGAGACTTGTATATTTGAGCACGAGCTGTATCGTCATCAAGGTCGGTGTTATAGATGAAATCATCTCTGCATGTAGTACTAAGAGCAGCTTCACTTGATGTTTGTACCGATAAAACGACGGGTTTGGGTGGAGGGTAAACATGTGAGGACAACTCTGGTGCTAGAGGGCTGCTGGTGCAGACCACCGGAGAATCAATTTGTTGGGTGTTTACAACGGTGTTGGGTTGCACAGGCGGTGCTTGAACGTGCCTCAAACTGTACTGCTCGGCAGGAATGTAATAGATTGGGTAAGGCTGTGGCGGAAGCTGATAATGGATGTGGTTTCCGTATGTTGTGGCAGGCAAATTCATAGGTGAGTTTCCGGCAATGTAAGGCTGTCCACTGTATATGACCTGTATATGTTGTTGAGCTTGGTTCAGAAATGGAGGATACCCGGAAACTGGAGCTGGAACTGGTTTGTTTAGCTCAGCTTCATAGCGGCTGGAATATACTTTGTTCTCCAAAACATGAGGATGTGTCGGTAACTCGTGGGAAGAGATTGTGACCGCGACATTATCGCTGTCAATACAGTAAGAAAAAAGGAAGAATGTTCATCAGTAAAAATTCGCATCTGCAAAGTATACAATCCTTAAGAACACAACTCTACTTCAAATACTATAATAAATGCAGCCTCCGAGGAATTGAGGATTATACATGTCCCTGAAGCTAGCACACAAGGAAGAAGCTACACCCTATGAACCAATTCATACATCATATATCTAGAAGAAGACCTAATTCAACAACAGAATCACTTCACGACTTCTATTTTCTTTGCAACATTACTACAAGAGATAGCTTTGGTATCTCCACATTAACCTCGTTCTGCAACACTACCAGACTCATCTAGGCCATTAGCTAGACCATTCGAAAACTCAAAGACAACAAATTGTGTAGAAGTTAGAGAACGCATACACTGAAACCTATTTGATAAAGCGATTTAATGGTGAAATGAAGCTGTTACCTTGCTACGGATTCTATTGGCGCAAATTTGACCTGCGAATTCGGATTGTTGTCCTCGCCGGTGCTTTTCATCGGAGGTAAATTGCTCGAAGAAACCGATGATGAGGTCGAGCCAAAGGACGAATTGGTATCGAGCATCATCGATTCCTGTCCGCAAATCCCGCCGTTACAATCTCCGCTTCCACTACTTCCGCTACTACCTCGACCGCCCTGCATCCTCTCCGCGCTCTTTAACGCATCTACGAACCACGTACCCGTCGTCGGGTGCTGAAGCACTGGCTGAGTCAACTCGCAGCGAGTCACCTTCGACTCTTCGATTCCAAGCCAATCGACATCCGTCTCCGCTTTAGACTGAGTCGGATCTCCCTGACTCGCACCGGATTCATTCAGTTGAGGTTTCAAAGGGAAAAGAAACAATCGGATTCGCGTTTGTGGAATCGATGAATCGGAGGAGAGATAACCGTATTCCTCCATCATGATCTGAACATCTTCATCCGTCTCGACGGAGATAAGCGAGTCCAAATCCTGATCAGGAAGCTGATATTTAACCTTGAAAGCGTAAATGATTCCGAGCGTAACCGTGAGGTGACTAACAAGCGAAGCGAAGCTCGTTTCCGCGGAGGGAGGAACGGCGACGATTCGAGTATCTCCGCCGACGTAGCGCGGCGATTTCGTCTGCGGAGGTGAAACTATAGTACCGCCATACCTACACATCACTCGCAACTTTCCATTTCTTCCGTTCTTCTTCCATGGCGGCGTGACAGCTTTCACGCCTTCCGTTACGGCGGAGGAGACGGTGGTCATGGTGGTGCAATTTGGGGGTTTTTTCTTTTAACGTTTGCTCTTCTTGCTTTGGGGGGTTTTTTGTGTGCGTGAGCAAACGCCGTTTATAAGCGGAGAATATTTTTATCGAATCGAAGTAGTGATTAGCTTAGCTGTGACGGTAACGTTATCATTAACTGAATGTATCAGCATAGATATGTGGGCCCTTGAACTTTATATTCCCGAGCGCGTGACTTTTAAAACGGGTTTTATAACCAGATCGGGTTAAGAATAATCCAAGACCGGGTTTTACCCGATTGGTAATTCTCAACTTTTTTAGTTTGTAAGGTTTCAGACATTGTTAATTAGCTTAATCATAAATCTATAATTGATCCAAGATCGTCTCTCAAATTTTTGTTTGTTTTCTAGTAATTTAAATGCAGACTGTTTAATCCATTCAATACATATTCGATCTTTTGATTTTCCGTATGTAAGTGACTTGCCATTAAATAAATTACTAATTTTTGTGACATTTTTTTATTAATAGTTTGGTTGATAAAAAAAAAATTATAATTAATATTTTTATTTTAAGTTCCACAAGCATACATGCTAACCTAGTATTATGTAATATTTTTTTTTTAGATTAGCATCCG